TTTTTAATTAACTTAATTCTTGAAGAACTATCATAAAATTATAACTTATAAATTATTATTTAATAAATAATGTTTTTTAAATGTTTCAAAATTAATCAAATTTAAAAAGATAAGTTGCGTTTACAATTTTCATAAATAGATGAAATTCAAAAAGGTTTTAATTTGAAACTTTATAAAATTTCAATTTTCAATAAATTTAATTAGAAATTTTAAACATAAAATTCTTGGCAAAATTTCAATTATTTACAGAAAATTTCCTGAATTCAATATCTAATTTTCAATATCTATTATTTTAATAAAATTTTACAAAAGAATTCAATTATTTAACAAAATTTTTGATAAAATTCTACGCAAGCATCTAATTGTTTTCATAAATAATTAATTTCGCAGTAATTCTATTATTTTCATAAATAATACAATTCATTTTAGGAATTCAATTATTATTTTTCATAAATAATAAAATTTATTGCAGAATTGCAATAATTTTTAATAGAATTTTAATAAAATTTCTCGAAAAATATTAGAATTCTTAAAAATTTTATTATAATTTGTCGAAAGAATTCAACTATTTTCAGAAATTTTAATAAAATTCTTGACAAAATTTCAATTATTTACAAAACTTTTTCCAAATTCAATGGTTTTTAATTTCTTCAATTATTTTAATGAAACTTTCAAAAAAAAAAATTTAATTATTTAAAAAAAATGTTGACAACATTCTATGCAAACTTAATTATTTTCATAAATAATAAACATTTCACTAAAATTCAATTATTTAAAAATTTTATTAAAATTTGTCTAATAAATTCAGTTTTTTAAAAATTTGTAGTTAAAATTCTTTATGAGAATTCAATTTTAAGAAACATTCAATTATTTAATCAATTATCTATGTTTGTATTTAAATAATTGAATTCTCGTAGAGTTTTCTAATAAAAATTTACTTGAAAATGAATTTTAGCTAAAATTTTGAAAAGCGGCCAGTTCCATACGAAAAGCAAATGGTGGATCACTGATTTTTCTTAAAGTTTGTAATTTTGTAGTACTTGGGATACTAAATAACTGTGCCAAACAGTTTTGCAAAAAAAAAATTTTTTTGCAAGATATTTAGATTTGAAAAATCGGAAACTGAAAAAAATGACTTTTTTTGAGAATTTTTATTTCGAAAACTATTGATTCTACAAGAAAAAGTCAATTATTCAAAATTGTAGAAAAAATGTCAATTTTTTATAATATTAAAAAAAAGTTAAGAAAAATTAATTTTTCACTAATTTGTTTAAACAATAATTTTTTATTGTTAAAAAAAAGCAAAGGACATCATGGAATTTTCTAGAAAAATTATTTTCTGAAAATTTGAACCTTCCTTAATAAGTGGTTAAATTTTTAAAGAAGTGATTTTTGATGTTTTTGAGAAAAAAATTTTTGAAGTTTGCGCTACGAGTTTTTGTGCGTTGCGCTAACTAAGCAGCGCCTATGTCAGTGTATTTTAAAAGATGATTTGACCTTTACTGCTCGTCTCTAATACATTTATTAATTATATACGTATATATTATTATTATAAACAGTTTAACAATATATTTTTAACTTTTTTAAAAACATTATTTTCCTTTTTTAACCCATTATAATGCCCATGGGCACAGGAACGTAGATATAAAAAGTAACTATTGGGATCCTGGCATGGGGTTTAATGATAATTTTTGACGTTAAAAATTTCTAAAAAAAATTTTTTAAACATTTTGTTATAAACAAATAAAGAAAAGTTGATTTTCATAAAAAACTGATAGCGTCATTCGATTCGACGCAAAAAACTACTACAAGAACGTATATTACATAATTTAAAAAAGACATATTATTGTAAAAATGTTATAAAAAATTAGCCTGCATTTATACTGTATGAGGTAGAAGGATCGTTTTTGAAGTTAAAAAATTTTTTTAAACAAAATTAATTTAATTAGGAGAGTTTTTGACGTTAAAAATTTTTTTAACAAAATTTTTACCTCAAAAACTATTCTTAGACCTCATGCTCATAGTAGTTATGATAGTAGTTCTCATAGTAGTTTTTTGCGTTGAATCGAATGGTGCTATCAGTTTTTTTATGAAAATCAATTTTTCTTCATTTGTTAATAACAAATTGTTTAAGAAATTTTTTTTTTAATTTTCAACGTCAAAAATTATCATTAAACCCCATGCCAGGATCCTGTGCCCATGGGCATTAATGGGTTAAAAAAGGAAAATAATGTTTATAAAAAAGTTAAAAATATATTGTTTGTAACAGGACGTATTTTACGTATCTCCTTATTCTGAAATTACAAAGTATTAGTCGACAAATTATTGTTTTATAAAGAAATAATTAAATATGATTAATTAAATATTAATTGATTAAACGTCGATTTACGATCCTGTGTTGTCATGGTAACGACACTTGCGCTTGCGGAGCCGAAAATGCGGCAAGGAAGCAACAAGTGTGGTTTTGATCACTTTTGGATCGTACGTCGATTTTATAACATCTTGTGTTAAATGTTAGTGTCGACTAATATTTTATTTATTAAAGAATTATTTTATTTAATTTAATGTTATAATTGTGTGAGTGTGGAATTGGCCAATTCGTCGACTGAGAGAGACATCGAAATGTAAGTAGATAATCTGTAAAATATATCTTTTCAGTCGACACTCTTTAGTTATTATTTCACTGGGTTCACCCATTTTACCCCCCTTGAGATTTTGCTTATTTGTTTAAAGTAAATTTAATTATATATTTGATTTACTGTCGACCTTCAGTCGGGGCAGTCTACTTTTCGCCGCCAACTCGCTCCCGGGCCCTTCCCCCACTCTACCTATTTTCCGGGCACCGTCAGTCAGACATACATGGTATGAACTACTTCTCCCCCCACAAAGATGCAGTCAAATTTTCTACTCTCCCCTCCCCTAGTATTCAGTTCTTTACATAAATTCGATTATTTTCAAATAAGAAAATTCTACACAGGATTTCTATTATATTATTTTTAATACAATTTTAAACAATCAATCATTCTTTTTAATAAGAATTACACTTTTGAATAATTTTACTTAAAGGGTTATACCTGTTTTGAGGCTTAAAAAAGTGTTTTTCAAAATTTTTTTATGAGTAAACGGTGCTAAGTTTTTTGTAGACCTCCGCGGCGAGCAGCAGAAGTGCTACATTTTTTTTTAATTCCTTAAAAAAATGTTATTATTGAATATAATTGAAATTAGGACAAGAATTTTTTTGACATTTATTAAAATAATTGAACTTTGGAGTTTCTAATTTTATAAATTTAATTTATTATTTAGTATAACAAAAACTCCTGTTTCATGTTAAACTGTTTATAATAATAATATATAGGTATATAATAAATAAATGTATTAGGGGCAAGCAGTAAAAGTCATATCATCTTTTAAAATACACTGATATAGGCGCTGCTTAGTTAGCGCAACGCACAAAAACTCGTAGCGCAAACTTCAAAAATTTTTTTCTTAAAAACATCAAAAATCACTTCTTTAAAAATTTAACTACTTATTAAGAAAGGTTCAAATTTTGAGAAAATAATTTTTCTAGAAAATTCCATGATGTCCTTTGCTTTTTTTTTAACAATAAAAAATTATTGTTTAAACAAATTGTTGAAAAATTAATTTCTCTTAACTTTTTTTTAATATTATAAAACATTGACACTTTCTCAACAATTTTGAATAAATGACTTTTTCTTGTAGAATCAATAGTTTTCGAAATAAAAATTCTCAAAAAAAGTCATTTTTTTCAGTTTCCGATTTTTCAAATCTAAATATCTTCCAAAAAAATTTTTTTTTTGCAAAACTGTTTGGCACAGTTATTTAGTACCCCAAGTACTACAAAATTACAAACTTTAAGAAAAATCGGTGATCCACCATTTGCTTTTCGTATGGAACTGTTCAAGCATTATGGCATGAATTTTTAGAAATAATTGATTTTTGAAAAGGTTTCAAATTAAAATATTTTAACTAACAATTCTGTAGAAATAATTTTTTTAAAAAAGTTTAATTGGATTTTTTTGAAATTATTTCATTTTTTTTTCTAATATATATATATTAAATTGAACAATTTGTGAATTATTGAATTGAAAACAAATGGATTTGAAAATTCTTAAAGAACTTTTTCAAAAATTATTTAAAATAATTTATTTAAAGCAGAAGTTTAGTTAAAAATTCTAGAAAATAATAATTGAATTCAAATGCAAAAAATAATTTTGAGGAATAGTTATAGTAACATTATTCTTATATAATATAAAATAATGATTTTATCACTCGGTCATCTTTAATTATTATAAGTTGTTCAATTTCAGAAGGTTTGAATCTGAAATTTTTGAAAATCTTAATTTCTATGGAAAAATAATAATGATGAAATATTTATTTAAAAAAGAAGTTATTGATGTTTTCGAATAATTTTCCAATTAAAGAAATTTGTAAATAAATTTAATAGAAATTTTTTTGAGTATCAAATCATTTTAAGAGTGAATCAGAATACTTTTTAGGGTCAGAAAAAGAGTCAAAATTTTGTCTGGAAATCAGGGAAAAACAAAATTAAATTTTTGTGTCAACTCTGCATTTTATTAATTTACTATTAATTTACTAATTATTTCTACATTTAACTAATAAGTGGTAAATTAAGTACTAAAGACTAAAGTAATAAACTAGTACTAAAGACCAGTATTAACTAAATAATTAAGTATTGGTAGAATTGTATATTTCTAAAAACGAAAATACTATGAATTGTATTTATGGAGATATTTTATAAAGAGTGCAATTTTTTATTGTTTTTACGATTTGCCTTGCAGTTTTATATTTAAAAGGGAAAAATAGATGTACAATGGGTAAATGGAAAAAAGGTGTTACGCGTATGAATTAAAAAAAGAAAAAAAATCTCATGCAGTTATTGAGAAAAATAACAGACCATGCAAAGCTTTATATTCATTAACAGCAAAGTATGGATAATATTTTTTTCTGAACATTTTTACCTGGTCACTGTCATGGCCCTGCCAGCTGTCATGGCTCTGCAACAAAGAAAAATATTTGATATAAATTTATACGCTATAAAGTAATATATTTTATATATATAAATATTGAATTTATTTTAATGGAAATATATGTTTTCCATTTTCTCCATTTTGTAAATACATAAATATATAAGATATATAATATTTATATGCTTGTCCCATTTATTCTTAAAAGTAAGAATAAATGAATAAAAGTAAAAAAAAATAAAATAATAAAGAAAATAATAAATAAGTAAAAAAAATAATGAAAATGAAGAACAATTTTTGCAGTTAAATAACATTTGTTGGCAAATCTATAAAATTTTTAATAAAAAATTTCTAGAAATTATATTTTTAAAAGTAGGTGTTTTTTTAAAAAATAAAATTAAAATTTATTTTTTCCAAGGAAAGTAAAAAAAATATGAAAGTACACAGATGAAAGATTACTTTTATAAGAGAGGTAGAAAATCAGTTTTTGATTTTTTTCACCAACTGATATACAGATTGGCATAAAGTGTTTCGTTTCGAAAAAAAAATTATTCCTTTGGGAAAGATTCTTTCTTTGAAAAATTTGGTAAATATTTATAACGAGAAATTCAAGTTTGTAAAGCGGATTATTCCTGTACAACTCGAGGATGAGAGAGTGAGAGAGTAGAGCGAGAGAGAGAGACAGACGATAGTAAAAAGGGAAATTGAAATTTCTCCTCGGTCTTGACGAGTGCATTCGATGCAATATTCCCATCGATTGAATAATACCGTTTGCTTTCAAATTCGCTAGCTCCAAGTTGCGAACAAAAAATAAAAAAAAAATACAGAAATATTTGCACACTAGTCGAATTCTCTCTTGAGCCAAAGTTTTATTTTGTACCTAAATTTCAATGGAAATAGAATATTATTTACAAAAGGGGAATTTTATTTTTATAGTGTTATTCGTTTGTTTTTCTCAAATTTAATATAAATCGATAAATTTAAATAAAATAAAAATATTTTTTTGTCATACTTCATCAAAACCAGAAATTAGTTTTGTTTCTCTAAATTTATTCTGTAAAAATCAATTTTTAAAATATCTTAAAAAAATTATTTTAAAAATTAAGATAATTTTAATTAAATTAGTAATGTGGTTAATAGAGTTCGTTTTTTTATTAAAGATATTTATTAATGCACTATAATTGAAAATAATATGTAAATTAAATTATTAATTTTTGCTTTACTTGGATTTTTTTTTGTTCGTGAGAATGAGATTTTTTTTAGAAGTTTATTAAATTCGGATAAATAATAACCGCGAACGAAGTTTATATGAAAACGGGTTGGTAACATTTTATCGGATGTGGAGGTTGCTTGGTGTCGGAAGTACAAGCGGCAGTCGCGGGGGGTTAATGTTGAACCGCGTTGTTAGATTTATGACGACAATATAGGCTGGCGAGAACCAACGTTGAAACGTGCTTCTGGGCGAAACATCGTCCCTCTTCCTGTCGAATACGTCATACCGCGTGAGGTAGGAGACAAAATTTAAAAAAAAATTGGAACTAAATAAAAGTTTTTACTCTTTTTTTCTTTCCTGCAGAACCAAAAAAATGGGTATTTTCTCCCTTGTCCCTTTTTTTTAAATACAAAAAAAAATAAATAAAAAAATCATCCCTTTTTTGTAAGTTAGAAAAATGTTTATTTGAAGTGAAAAATAATGTTTTTTTTCTAAGTTCTAATTTTTTTAAATTAAAAATTCTGTTCAAAAATAACAGTTGTAAAAATAAGAAATCTGAATTTCTCAAAATTTTTTAGAACCAATTAAAAAAGAAAAAGAATTACACAATATTAAAAAGATTTAATTCTTATTGAATTTCTTTTTGTTTGCCTTATTAACTTTGTAATAATATACAAAACCTTAAATTGTTTTTATTTATAATTTTCTAACAATAATTGAACTTTAGGTACAGAAGATAAAATTGAATCAACTATTAAAATAATAAAATTATTTTTAAAAATTGCAATTGGTAGTATCTAACTTCTCAAAAATTTAATTATTATCTAAAACTTTAACTGAAATTAATTTTTAAATCAATTTTTATTAGAAAATATTCTTCAAAAATAAAATTATTTAAATACAAACATAATATAAATAATAATTTATTGAATAATTAAATGTTTCTTAAAATTGAAATATAATACAGAATTTTTTCTACATACTTTTGAATAATTGAATTTATTATTTATGAAAATAATCGAATTACTGCGAAGAATTTTATGCAAAATTTTAAAACATTTCATTTTTTTGATAAAATTTATGCAAATTATATTTTAAATAATTGAATTCCTGTGACATTTTTATTTTTTTGGAAAATTATTAAATCTTTGTATTGAATTGTATGGAAATTTTTTTTTAATAATTGAATTTTCTTTTAGGAAATTAAACAAAATTTTTGAAAATAATTGCCATTTTGCCATGAATTTTATTAAAATTTTTGAAAATAATTGAATTCTTTTGATGAATACTATTATTTATGAAAATAAGTCGACGCCTCCCGTTCATATAATGCTTATAAGCATTATATGAACGGGAGGCGTCTAGTGAATTTTACAATGAATTTAATAAAAATTTCTGGAAATAATTTAATTTTCTCGAAGAATTTTAATATACATTTAATAAAGATAATTGAAATGTTGACAATTTTTATAGATTTTTTGAAAATAATTGAATTTCAAAGAATTTTATAATTTTGAAAATAATTGAATTCTTGTGATCTTGTTATGAAAATAATTGAATTTTCTAATGAATTTTATACGAATTCCTGATTATAATTGAATTTCAGCAAAGAATTTTGTGATTTATAAAGATAATTAAAATATTGTGGAAATTTTTTTTTTTAATTTTTGAAAATAATTTAATTTCTTGAAAGAATTTTGATATTTGTTAAAATAGTTGAATTCTTTCAAAAAATTGCGTGAAAATTTTTCAAAAAATTACTTTATTAAATGATTTATAAGTAGGTAATAACTTTATGGCAGTTCTTCAATAGAATTAAGTTATTTAAAAAAAAATATTGTCAGAAATAGAAAAAATTGTTTTACTTAAGTAAATATTTATTTGATAATAGACAAGTAATTGTTTATTTTAATCAAATAAATTTTTTTAGTGTAACTTTGGGAAAACATGGGAATCGTAACTGATCTTTTGTACAGTCATTTTCATAATTTTGATAAAATGATTATAATGATAATAATTTTAAAAGAAACTAAATTGTACATTTTGGAAAATGGAAAGTCTTTAGAGAGAAAAAAGGGAATAATCGTAAAAGAAAGTAATTTGTCTCTTTCGAGAGTGGAAAGTTTTTAGAGAAAAAGGGAATGTACTTTTGTCAATGTAAATAAAAATTGTACACGATTGCATCGATAGGTGGATGTTTGATAATGAAGCCGAGTGTAGAGTGGTTCGTATCATTGTAACGATAAACGACACTCTCGATTCTCCTCTCTCCCTACTGTTGAATTATCTCAGTCTCTGTATGTACACACAGTACACATATGTATATACAGTGTTCACCCACAACCCAAAATGTAATTCAAACTTCATCCACTTGACTCAAGAGCATCCTCTTGTTTTTGTTATCGCATTAAGTTTTTAACCATTTAAATACAGGCGTTCTTGTATGTACATATTATAACCATCGCTACAATTTTCTCTTTTTTTACTTTTTATACATTTTTGCTTATAATTGTAATATTATTTTTGAATAATTATTCAAAAAATAATTCCTTTTGTAATTATTATTTTGTAATCCCCTATTTTTTTTATCAATTTTGCCAATTAATATCATTAAATTGTTTGTCTGAATTTTCATATTGATTTAATAATAATTAATTTACAATAGCTGCGAAAATTTGTAATTTCTATTTTAATTTTTAATTTTCTAATTACAATTTATGGGTCAATTGTACTTGTTACAATTATACTCATTTCGTTTTTAAAATTTGACATATTATGTGAAATTATTTGCTGCAATTTTGTTTTTACCAAATAGTTTATAATCATTGTAAACATGAATTTTAATTATCAATTTTTTAATTTTTAATTAATTAACCCCTTGACTGTGAGGGTACGTCTATAGACGTACATTTGAAAGTGGGCTTCCACTGTGAGGTACGTCTATAGACGTACATACAAAAAAATTGATAAAAGGCAGAAAAAACAAGTAAATTGACGTCACACATACGTTACTTATGGTATTTTCGACGCTGAATCCGAATCTGAAGTCAAATTTTGAAAATTCGAAAACCAAAATCCAATATGGCTGCTCAAAAGTAGACTGTTTTGAATGATACTTTTATTATATTAAATCTCAGGCAGCATACATTATCATATCAAAATAATATCTCACACAATTATATCAAAATGTTGTCGACGTCGCTGGTTACGAATATGAAGTTAAATTTTCGAAATTCAAAATGGCGGATTTGGATCCGCCATTTTGAATTTCGATGACGGACTAATTTTTTTTAATTCATTGAATTCGCTTGAAACTTGTTACTCGGGGGTTTTCGAGGTCGCTGATTCCGAATATGAAGTTAGATTTTCGAAATTCAAAATGGCGGATCCAAAATGGCGGACATATTTTTTTTAATTTCTCGGATTCGATTGAAACTCGTTACTCGGGGGTTTTCGAGGTCGCTGATGACGAATCTGAAGTCAGATTTTCAAAATTCAAAATGGCGGATCCAAAATGGCGAACGTATTTTTTTGAATTCATCGTATTCGCTTGAAACTTGTTACTCGGGGGTTTTCAGGGTCGCTGATAACGAATCTAAGCTCAGATTTAAAAAATTCAAAATCGCGGATCCAATATGGCGGACATATTTTTTTTAATTTCTCGGATTCGATTGAAACTTGTTACTCGGGGGTTTTCGAGGTCGCTGATGACGAATCTGAAGTCAGATTTTCAAAATTCAAAATGGCGGACGTATTTTTTGAATCCATCGTATTCGCTTGAAACTTGTTACTCGGGGGTTCTCAGGGTCGCTGATAA